ATTCTATGGCTGCTATCATTGCTATCAACTGTTAAGATACAAGAAATAAAAAAATAATAATAATAGTAATAATAAAATAAACAATATGGAATGAAAACTTCTTGAGAATTTTTTTTCTGGAAATTTAATCACTGCACTGAGATAGTATAAATGCATTCAAAAAGACTCTTTTGTCTGTGACTTAAAGAGGTTTGTTCCTGATCCTCTAACTAGGACATACTCCTCATTGTGCTGTTCATGTTTACAATAGGTTGTCACCACATCATCACAGGAAAAAAATAGGGCTTCCTAAAAGAATAATATTTCCAAGTGGAAAAATGTTCTATCTTCTATCACTTCTTACATATGCATTTACAGAATGATTACTCAGACGAGTCTTTCCCTTCTTCACTTTGTGCTTTGGTATAGTGTCAGGACTTTATTTCCATTTACTGTGTCTCTGTGTCAGTGGAATGGGAGGAATGTCAGGAAGTCTACTAGTTTTCCTGGTGTGGGTCAAGCTCTTCTGTCTCATGATAAAGGAAACTGAAAATACAGGGCAGTGTGATCACCACATTTTGGCAGAGGAACTCAAGACCAATCAGAGGATCTGGAACTGTTTGACTTCCCTCCTTTTCCTCTTCACTGCTTCACGTTCTGGCACATTGCAATCCGATTCTCCTAAATTTTACAGTAAAACATTGCACCACATGTACTAATCGATGTGTGGAAACTGAGGAAGGGCAAAACGTCTTAAGGTTGCCCAGAGTCTTCATGCTAAAAGAGATGAGTTTCTCCACCCCCCAGTTATTTTATGAGTAAGCTCAGGAGAAGCCACCAATATAGTGAAACCAAACCATGCTGAGCTTCTGGGAAGGTACTGATAATAGTGAAACAAAACCATCCAGAGCTTCTGGGAAATTGGGCTGCTGCTGCTGATCTCATCAGCTTTGCTGCAAGCTCACATGGTAATGCACACAGCATGTCAGACCATACCTCTCCACTTCCTCAACTGCCCAAAACATGCCATAAGTGTGACCTTAGGTGCCAGATGGACTTCTAAGAGGTTAATACACTGAGGTTAATTCCTTAGGGTGAGTTAAAAATAAAAATAAATGGTGGATATATATACAAAGTTTTATTCAGTAGGTATTCATAATTTTTGAGAGAAATTACATTAAAGTAGGTAACAGATGAAAGAGAGAAGATATTTTATCATAATAGTAATGCTTTTTCAGAACACAGCACACTGCAGGTAAGATGTTTCTAACCAGATTTCAAACATACTTGTTTCGGTGAAGCTTTTATTCAAATGTTATTTTTTAAAGAATTTCTTAGAACAAAACTGTACAGCAAGTAAGTTAACTGATTCACTAGCCAATAGTCATAGCTAGAAAGAGATGAAAATTTTCACACAGTGGTGTGCATGGGAAAACACAGTCATGCTGAATCCCAGAAATCCCAGAAAATGGGATGATTTCACTGACATTCAATAGGGAAAAAATGTAAACATCCATTTGGATAAGGCTGAAAGTTCTATTTTGACACTGCCAGAACACAACATTTTTATTTTATAGCCTAATAAAAATATTTCAATATTCAAAGCATTCACATTCAAAACATTTCAGCATTCAACATGAAAAATTTGAGTCCATACAAATATTTTTCAATTGTGATCTCATTCTGATTCTTTAAATTATGGGCCTTCCTGTCCATAAGACCTGAAGATTCTTGCTCCGTGTCTCTGGTTTGTACCACATAGCTCAACACAGTGCCTGGAAACCTGTTTTAGTGAGGAACATGCACTAAAAGCTTTGAGTTGAAAATTAAACACATGATCATGAGTTGCTTTCATTGGAATGGCACCCAAACCCAGCACTGCCTGAGGAACTTCATTCTTTTCCCATTGTCCTAAGCAACATTTCTATTGCGATATCAAAGTGCAAACCCTGGCTCAACCTCTACTTTGCAAAGTTTTACCAAATATCTGCTTTGGATAAGAGTGTAAGGCAAGACGGTTACCTCAGCCAACATTTTAGAAAATTTTTAGGAAAAAAATATTGTTGTTGTAATTGTAGAAAAAAATAAAATCCCTGCTGACAGAGTACTGTAGGTGTGTCCTCATTGCTGACCTGGCCTGAGGCAAAAGACCAGGGCCTCTCCCTGTCTGTGCCTTACATCACTGAAGTTGGATCAGGACACTGACTTCTGGTGAGGAAATAAACTCTTTCCTGAAGTGGGACCAGAATGATCTTTCTTCAAGAAGTCTGGATGGAACAGTGGTGAGCTCAGCTAAAGTTCTTGGGAAAACTGGTGTTGCAATAACAGCAGAAAACCCCTCTGCTCCTATCTGCTGGGGTTTTGGAAGCCCAGTTCAAGTACACAAGACCCTGCAGAACAGGTCAGATGGGTTACCTTCAGGCTGTTATGGAGGTGTGAAAGATCTGTATGACCCTTCTGTTAAACAGCAAAGCCCTCAGGAGTTTGGGTCGATTGTAAAGTGAATGGTGCACATTTCGGATTTCTCAGACATCTATGAGAGTGAAACCATCTCCATTTGAGTGTTCCTCACATAGGTTTTTTCTTCAATATCTGTTTCTGCTGCAGGAAGGTCTCTGTGCCTGTGTGGCTATAACATGCAGCGTCAGCATGTCAAAAGCAAGTGCATTTAAAAGTAAATCTTCTTCTACTTTAGGCCGTATAGCATTTGTCTACTTCTTACTGCATCTTCTGGGACACCAGTTGATGAGCTACTTGTTCTTTAATTTACACGAACTTAAATGACAAAGCCATGCTCCCTATCAGACGGAGTGAAATAAGATGAAGCACTCTGCAAAAGGAAGGAGAGGGCAACATCCCCGAACAAAGCAGAGGGCAGGAGACAGCAATTGTTGGAGACTGTGGGCTCCTTGAGCACCTTCTCTCTTCACAGCAAATCCAATGCTACCTCATATTTTTTACACGTGTTTTCTTATTGCTAATCAAGTAGGACAATATAGTTCTATCACTGCTCCCACACGGCAGAGCTGTTTACTTTGAACCAGCAAAAACATATAGAGAGAGCCTCCACACCCAATTATTACAGGCTGAATCCTTAGACAAAGGAGAAATTCAGTTAGAAATTACTAAATAGCGTATTTGTTTGGGGTTTGGCTTTCTGTTTTAAAGTGGCTGGATTCCCTTCATCCTGTTGCTCAGTTCTACAGATTCTTCTGAACTGCAGAGCCAAAAGCCAGCCACACAGGCCCACATACCACAGGAACAAGGGAGCCACCAAGAGGGATGTTTTGACAGCTGATGCTGAAATTGCAACATCAGCCATGCTGGTTTGCTTTGAAAAGCCTTAAGTGGTGTTTATGATGAAAAAGCACATGTAGTTAAACCAACCAGTCTTTCCCAAAACTTCTAAATTGTTGCTTAATTTATAAATCTGCTCAAAGCTTCAAGTAGTAGAAATATGCATGTTTTGGTGGTCCTATGTAGGTCCCAGATGGAGACCATCCAGCCAGTACTATCCAAATATTGGCTGGGGCAGAAAGACAAAGGCAGCAAACCATCTCCAGAGCTAACAATGAGTCCCTGGAATTCATAATCAAATTAGAGACTGGGTTTTCTTTGCAAGTAAGAGTGGGAACATGTCCCTGCCCTCACCTTTCACACGTCCAGCCTACAGATTTCATGGGTGGTTGGTGGTGATTGTACACAGGATGCTCAGTGTAGAAGTACAGTGCCTAATCCCCATCTTTTTCTTTCAAAACACTTTGCTGCATCTCTCTTCGTAGACACCAGGACTCATTACCAGGTAGAATCTCTATCCCCCTGTAGATAAATAGCCAAGGTTACTTATGTTTCCACATTTTTGTAGAAGCATCCTTTATTTTTCATATATTTCAACACATCATTCCATTTGTTGATTACTTGTTTTCTGTTTCAAATCAAAATATTCCTGCAAGCTGGATATCTGGGAGAAAATACCATTCAGTGCCATGACCAAACAATCCAGAGGATCAGGATTCACAGGGCTGATTCCAAGCTGGCATATGCCACTACTGCACTGGGAGAATTTAAGAGACTTCTGTGGTGTTACTTGCAAATACCACTGGAGACATGAATCAAAAGCTCATTTTAGAAGACGCTTTTACCTATTGAAACAAGGATGTGTTTGTGACCCATTGTTAGAAATAAGTGGCCTTGATCAGTCATTTGGGTTTGCATGGGATCTTTGATGGAGTTTGTTCGACTTGAACATTAAAACCAAACACACACTAAAAAAACAAACAAGAAAAAAAAATCAAAAAACCCCAAACCAAACCACAACAACAACAAAAAAGACAACAAAACCACACACACACACAAAAACCCCAAACAAACAAAAAACCAAAAAATACACAAAAAATTACTAAATGGTTCACTACAAGAAAAAGGCGAGAGAGCGGGACAACAGCTCCAGCAGTGTCCCCTGCAAGAGTAGGTAGAGACTAATGGTGGTTATTCAGTGACCTTTATAAAATATATTTGGCCAGAGATAAAGGCCTAGTCAGTGAATGTCCATGTAAAATAACACTCAGTTTAAATTTGAAAACGCAGCAGGAAGTAAATGGTGACAGCTATAACGGCTCAGATATGGTCTGATAAGAGGTGGTTGGCTACATTCACACCTCTGGAGGCCTCTGTGGAGAACTGTGAGCTGGTTCCTCCCTGTTAACATACTGTGGCTCAAAAAAACCCGAATTTTTCTTTTCCTTTTTTAAAGGAAATCAATAACAACAACTAAATTAAAAAAAAAAAAAAAAAAAAAAAAAAAAAAAAAAAAAAAAAAAAAAAAAAAAAGGCAAAAAAACACTAAACCCCCACGACACGCACCCATCTGTGACGTGCTGGAGCACGGAGTTACTGACCATCGAGGAGCCTGTTCTCCCTCCTGCTGCTGCGCTTCGGCTCTGCTACACCTCACATGCCACCTAGTGGCTTCCCAAGTGGAAAATTCCTTTTAAAACATGATTTACAGACACGCCGCTTCTGCCAGGCGTTCCGTGTGTCTCCAGCTCGCTGTTGAAGAAGTGAGTTGAGGGACAGCACACGTAACACATCCCGAGCGCCACCGCAAACCTGCCCCGTAACAGCCCATCCCTCTCATCAGCCCCAGCAAGTTTTCATTCCTCATTGCACCCTCAGACTCCCTCAAGGAATTTCCAGCACCTTGGCCTGTCCTTACAGCTCTCTGCTGTTTTCCATCATCTTCAAAGCCTTCACGGGGCCTGCTCCCCTATGACTGCCCACCTTATCACTCTGCCCCACCACCTTAACCAAGTATTTGGTGGAGAGGAGGTTGTACATTTTACTTTTAAGTATTCAGTGATGGTGGGCACTTCCCACAAAATTCATGGTAGTTAAAATCCAACTTTTCCAAGAAAAAAAATAAACCAGAAAGCTTTAAAGTGATCTTCACCTTTCCCTCCTCCTTACTTCTTACATGGGTCAGGGAAGATTTTATTGTTCACTTCAACTACTTTTTAGTGCCCTACAGCTATTTTATTCAGAAAAAAGGTGTTACATCTTAAAAACACCAAAAGGTGTTAAGCTTTCAGTCAGGACATTTATCCAAGAAACAGAAGTTTCAATTAAGAACTATGCTTTGCCTTCAAAAGAGTTAATTTGATCGTCTTGCTCCCTTCTCAGCAAGGTGGCCTAACCCCTTTGTTGATAAGTACCTGTGTGCCTTGGTAAGCCCCAAAGTGCAACAAGCAAAGTGAGATGATGTCTAAAGAAGAGGTCACTGGAAACCCCTGAAGGACCGCCAGTACCATGGTCTCTTGGGATGAGAGCCAGGATGCCTGTCAGAGGACACAGAGCACATATTTGCATTTATGAAAGGAAGAGCTTTGTCGTCATTAACTCTGGGCAATGGCTGTCCAAGTCACTCCCTCCAGTGAAAGAAAGGATCTGGACCTGATCCATGTTATCTCCAGCACTTTCATTAGGTGGAGGCAGCAATTAAAAAAAAAAAAAAAAAAAAAAAAAAAAAAAAAAAAAAAAAAAAAAAAAAAAAAAAAAAAAAAAAAAAGAAAAAAAAAAAGCCACTTGCCACAAACATTCATGTCTTGTCTTTCATTTCATATGCTTGAAACATAATAGTCCATCTTGAAAGGGCTTTTCTCTGCAACAAACTCTTTGCATTTTCTAGAATAAAAACAAACGACCCCCCAAAAAACTCAAAGCAACTCTTTCAATGTTTCTGAAATTATGTGCCATTTTTTTCTTTCAGACCATTGGAGAAATTACTTTGTTTTGTGAACGGCCACTGCCAGGCTTCACCATAGCTGAAACCCATTGAACTGTGCTGATATTCCTGTTACAATTTCTCCTCTCACCAGTGTGGTCCTTATATCTGGTTTAAACCCAGGTGCTGACCTTGAATGCTGTGCATCACCAGACTTAGAGGGCTGAAAGAGATGGTCCTGCCCTTCAAGAAAGGGGTTACTCACCATGATGATCGCAATGCAGGTGAAAGTATTCCATAAACTGCTACCTTGAGGCTTGAAGAATCAGCTTTACTTCAAAAAGTCGTGCAGTCATCCTTTATCAGTTAATCCATGGTGGTTGTATCTGTGCAGAGGAGCCATGTGGCAAACCCAGCTGGAGCCCCTGAGCAGGGCAAGGACTATCAGAGCCCAGGAAGCACGAGGGGTGGAAGCAAAACTGATATTCTGTCCTGCCTGAAAGCCAAAGAAGCGGGGACGAGGGTGCGCTCAGCAGCTAGAGGGCAGGCTCATTTTTCCTTTAAAACTTGGGAACCACCTCATTCCGGCTGCAGTGACTGCCTGAGTATCCAACAGAAGTGACTAAGTCAGTCAAGCTAATTGGAGAAGCCTTCTGTGTATTAACTACGGGGAGGGAGGACCCAAACTCCAAAAAAACCCCAAATCACAGATGTACAAATCTGATAGTCATTTCAAAAGGCTTCAGTCAGCTGGGCTGAAGAGCAGAGGGAGAGGAATCATGCACAAGACAGGAATATTCCACAGATGTGGACATGTCTGGCTGCAAACACCCCACAAAAAGCACACACTGGCCTTACAGGTTCTCATGACAGGAAAAAACAATTGAAAGGATTTACAAATAGCACTCATCAAAGCATTCCAGATAAATAACTTCCTCCTTTTCTTTTTCTTACTCAGAAAAGGATTTGCAAGACGAAGCAAGCTAAGCAGTCTCTGCAGAGTTTGGTCTCAGGTGAGTTATGTACTCCATAACACAGAATTTTCCATTACTTTCTGTGCCCGTAAGATTTGGGAGCTCAGTCTGTTGAGGGGAGGGAGCACAGCTGGAGCAGCCATCCAGGCATCCTGGTGATACTGGGGGTGAGGCTGCTGTGCCAGGAGCTGCCACACTGCTGTGCACCAGCTCAGACAGGCAGTTTTATGTCTTTAAAGGCAAATTCTTCTTCTCTTTGTTTTTTCATAAAAGAGACATTGAAAA